CCGCAACGTAGGAAGTGGTGAAGGAAGTAGTCTAGGCGAGTTGTCCGGAGTGTGGGAAATGTTTATGACAATTAGATTATGGTATCAGCAAACCTAAAATGCTACGGGAAGGGAGGAAAACAGGTCCGCAACGTAGGAAGTGATGAAGGAAGTAGTCAAGGCGAGTAGTCCGGAGTGTGGGAACTGTTTATGACGATTAGATTAAGGTATCTGCAATCTTTAAATGCAATGGAATGGAGGGAAACAGGTTCATGACGTAGGAAATTGTGTAGGATGTAGATGTGTGGATTTATGTATCTCCAATACTACGGTGCTTTCAGAGTGAACTAATGATTTTCCCCGAGCAAAGCTCGGTCCCCAGGTACTATAATCAAATGACGACACTAGCTTGAGGTTCGTGACGTATGAAGAGGTCAAGGAAGTAGTAAAAGTGAACAGTCTGGAGTGTGGAATCTGTTTATGACGATTAGATTAGGGTATCTGCAATCCTAAAATGCTATGGGAAGGGAGGAAAACAGGTCCGCGACGTAGGAAGTGGTGAAGGAAGTAGTCAAGGCGAGTAGTCCGGAGTGCGGGAACTGTTTATGACGATTATATTAAGGTATCTGCAATCTTTAAGTGCAATGGGAAGGGAGGGAAACAGGTCCGCGACGTAGGAAGTGGTGAAGGAAGTAGTCAAGGCGAGCTGTCCGGAGTGTGGGAACTGTTTATGACGATAGGATAAGGGTATGGGCAATCCTAAAATGCTATGGGAAAGGGAGGGAAACAGGTCCGCGACGTAAGAAGTGGTGAAGGAAGTAGTCAAGGCGAGCTGTCAGGAGTGAGGGAACTGTTTATGGCGATTAGATAAGGGTATGGGCAATCCTAAAATGCTATGGGAAGGGAGGGAAACAGGGCCGTGACGTAAGAAGTGGTGAAGGAAGTAGTCAAGGCGAGCTGTCTGGAGCGTGGGTACTGTTTATGATGATTAGATTAAGGTATTTGCAATCCTAAAATACTATGGAAAGGGAGGAAAATAGGTCCGCGACGTAGGAAGTGGTGAAGGAAGTAGTCTAGGCGAGTTGTCCGGAGTGTTGGATATGTTTATGACAATTAGATTAAGGTATCAGCAAACCTAAAATGCTACGGGAAGGGAGGAAAACAGGTCCGCGACGTAGGAAGTGATGAAGAAAGTAGTCAAGGTGAGCTGTCCGGAGTGTGGGAACTGTTTATGACGATTAGATTAAGGTATTTGCAATTCTAAAATGCTATGGAAAGGGAGGAAAATAGGTCCGCGACGTAGGAAGTGGTGAAGGAAGTAGTCTAGGCGAGTTGTCCGGAGTGTGTGAAATGTTTATGACAATTAGATTATGGTATCAGCAAACCTAAAATGCTACGGGAAGGGAGGAAAACAGGTCCGCAACGTAGGAAGTGATGAAGGAAGTAGTCAAGGCGAGTAGTCCGGAGTGTGGGAACTGTTTATGACGATTAGATTAAGGTATCTGCAATCTTTAAATGCAATGGAATGGAGGGAAACAGGTTCATGACGTAGGAAATTGTGTAGGATGTAGATGTGTGGATTTATGTATCTCCAATACTACGGTGCTTTCAGAGTGAACTAATGATTTTCCCCGAGCAAAGCTCGGTCCCCAGGTACTATAATCAAATGACGACACTAGCTTGAGGTTCGTGACGTATGAAGAGGTCAAGGAAGTAGTAAAAGTGAACAGTCTGGAGTGTGGAATCTGTTTATGACGATTAGATTAGGGTATCTGCAATCCTAAAATGCTATGGGAAGGGAGGAAAACAGGTCCGCGACGTAGGAAGTGGTGAAGGAAGTAGTCAAGGCGAGTAGTCCGGAGTGCGGGAACTGTTTATGACGATTATATTAAGGTATCTGCAATCTTTAAGTGCAATGGGAAGGGAGGGAAACAGGTCCGCGACGTAGGAAGTGGTGAAGGAAGTAGTCAAGGCGAGCTGTCCGGAGTGTTGGAACTATTATGACGATTAGATAAGGGTATGGGCAATCAAAAGTGCTATGGGAAAGGGAGGGAAACAGGCCCGTGACGTAGGAAGTGGTGAAGGAAGTAGTCAAAGCGAGCTGTCCGGAGTGTGGGAACTGTTTATGACGATAAGATAAGGGTATCTGCAATCCTAAAATGCTATGGGAAGGGAGGAAAACAGGTCCGCGATGTGGGAAGTGGCGAAGGAAGTAGTAAAGGCGAGCTGTTCGGAGTGTGGGATCTGTTTATGACGATTAGATTCAGGTATCTGCAATCTTAAAATGCTATGGGAAGAGAGGGAAACAGATCCGCGACGTAGGAACAGGTGAAAGAAGTAGTAAGGTGAGCAGTGTGGAGTGTGGGAACTGGAAACCGTTTGTAGCAGTTTTAATGTATCTGCAATGCTGAAATGCTATGAGAAGGGATGGAAGCATGCCCAAGACATAGGAAATTGTGAAAGAAGTAGTAAAGTCTAGCAGTACGGACAGTGGGGATGTTTGTTGCAATTAGATTAACGTATCTAAAATACTAAAATGCTATGGAAAGCGATGAATACAGGTCCACGACGTAAGTGGTGAAGGAAGTAGTAAAGGCTGGCAGTGCAGAGTGGGGGAACCGTTTGAGCAGATGGATAAGTGAATTTGTAATACTTAAATGCTATGAGAAAGGAAGGAAACAGGCCAATGACGTAGTAAATGGTGAAGGAAGTAGTAAGGTTAACAGCGCAGAGTGTGGGAACTGTCTTTGCCAATTACATTAATGTATCTGCAATCCTAAAATGCTATGGGAAGAGAGGGAAACAGGTCCACGACGTAGGGTGTGGTGAAGGAAGTAGTAAATGTGAGCAGTGTTGAGTTTGGGAATGGATTAATGTATCTGCAATGCTAAAATGCTACGGGAAGAGACTGTAGACTGTAATATGTTAAAAATGATTACGAAGCACAAATCGATACATATTTTCGATACATGCAATCGTTTACAATCGAAATTTACAACTGAGTTGACAACAGCTGATTTTTACTCCATAGAGGCTAAAAACGATTTTTACTCCCTAAATATTAAAAATGCTACTTTAGACCCGCAGCGCATGCATGAAAAAATATTGTTTTTACTGCAGTAAGACAAAAACAATATAATATGAACCCTTGATGACTCCGCTCAATTTTGTGGATGCCTCTGCGAACGCTACCTAGTATTTATGACCCATACCACCGTTTATGTTCTAATATCTGTGGAATAATGCTAACAGCTATTTATTTATCTACTGCATTCAAAAGTCAACAGCTGATCATATGTCTTTGTTTATGTGTTAAATACTGCTTCCATAAGGATTACGTTGAAACTTTGAGACCCAGTGGGGCGGATTCCTGAGAGACTTTTTTAACGCCATATAGATGTTGGCACTCACCGATATGGTCTTTATCACCATGCAAAATTTGAAAACGATTGATTCAGTCGTCTAGGAGGAGTTTGCGTATTACGAAATGCATAAAAGTCGACGTATAAGAGCTTCGCTCGCTTCGCTCGCTCCGCTCAATGATTCTGAGCAATGTACAGACAAAACTCTAATTTTATTTATATAGAAGATATCATCATAGACTAACGTATGTTTTATCTATGGTTATATCACAGATTAACCAAAACAAAATAGACTTCCCGTCCCATTGTAAATTTTGAAGCTAGTTTTTCGTGTCTAGTTCATGTCCGGTGACGTGGCTAGTGTCGACGAGATTTTGTTTCTATTATTTTAGAGTTAATTTCATGATTTTTTTTTTTACTTTCAGGTTATATAACTAGAGGATGAGTTATTGCTTATGATTATATCGTTTTATTTGGTTAAACAGGGGTTTTAATGACTGAAATAACAAGAAACAAATTGTAAACAAAACATGACCTCTAAAGTGCACCGGAAAGAACTAACTATAAAATTGGCTTCAGCTGTTCCATTATGAATTATCAATTATCAATCAATCAATCAATCAATAGAGATGGGGACGCATCCTAGGTGCGTATTTTAACCCAAATATGAGTGAAGGATGAGTGTAGAATGGTATGTGATGACCTGTGTAGCTTTGTTACTGACTAAGATCAGCTGTTTCATTAGTCAGGATCATTTATTTAAAGCCCAATGATCAGAACATTATGATGGGAGGGGGAAATCTACTAAGGGAGTATGTTTTATCTATGGTTACCTTAGACAAACCAACACAAGGCTATATATATAATATATATATATATCGTACTAATCGTATCGTACTAATATTATAAATGAGAAAGTTTGGATGTATGGATGTATGTTTGTGACAAGTGAACGCGAAAAATACTGGTCGGATTGGGCTGAAATTTGGCAAGATGATAGCTCACATTCCCGATTAACATATAGGCATATTCTTATTTCAAAAATCCTTTCGGGCTCCGCCCCAGTGGCTCTGGAGTTTCCCATGTTAACCTTATGAGAAAAGGAATTATTGAATCTTAACAGCTGTTTCAATTAAACAAGTTGGTTCTGTTCTATGAGGTTCAATAGCATTAAAGTTACAAGGATTACCAACAGGGTGCAGCACTATTATTTCTTTTACATTTATCACAACAGCTAAATTAGCAACCAAAAGGTGAGTGAGCGTAGCGAACGAACTTCAACCTGGAGGCGAGTTAGCGTAGCGAACGAGCTAACCTGAAGGCAAGTGAGCGCAGCGAACGAGCTCCAACCTAAAGGTGAGTGAGCGTAGCGAACGAGCTCCAACTTAAAGGTGAGTGAGCGTAGCGAACAAACTTCAACCAGGACGTGATTGAGCCATGCGAACGAGATAATCTTGAAAATTAAGAAGTTAAACGGGGCAAAGCCCGCGGGTTACAGCTAGTATATATATATATATTTAAAGGACATAAAAATTCAAGTGCTAAGAGACTGCCTGTGAATCAAGTCTGGTCTGCCTACAAAAATCTGGAGAACAAGAAGAATAGCTGATTAAAAGCGTAATGGTTGATTGGATTCATAGGCCTAGAATAGAAAGAAAAGAAAACTTCATCCGCCATTTTGTTCGCGTTGGTGTAACAACTCACTCACAGCAGATGTGGTTTTTATATTTTGATTATATAATAATTACTTGAATCAAATACTGTTGATCAGTTGAACTTTTTATTTTCTAACATTACTGGTAATTGTGATCACTTTGTTGACAAATTACGAGGCTATTCTCTTTCGAAATTGTGGCGTTTTCCCTGTAGGCTAGTGTTAGCACGACCCTCGCTACATTCTAGCCTAGTCCAAGTGTCGATTTTTAAGTTTCTAGGGTCTAAGAACCTTGGAGTAATTCTTATAATAAGGGATTTTTGCAAGTTTACCTAGCCAAGATGATGTACACGGTAAGTTCTAGGTCTAAGCTAGGTAGGGTTTAGGGAACTTTAACTTTAAGTTAGCCTAGTTGAACTTACCGCTACCAAGGCAAATTAAATTTTAAGGGTCCTTCCTCTTTCATTCGCTGTTGTTTGCAGTACCTAAACAATATGTTGGGTTCGACATACTCTTGATTGTTGTTTCATTTGTTCGGTAGGTGTATGGCTCTGGGGAGTGGGATTTTTTAAGCGAGATTTATCCCTATTCGGGGAAATTTTTTCAAACTTTTGATCCCTTTCAGGGATTTTCTCCAGTTTGTACCTACAGCTGTATAAACCATGTAGCCCTACTATTTTTGGGGCGAGGAATTCGATGGGACCATCGCCGTCCCCCTACGAGCCCCCCCTTTCTAATTACAAGGGGTAGATGGATATTCTTTGAATAAAATATATTTGTTTTCATGTGTATTTATTTATTATATTATCCTCCATACAAATAAACTCATTTTAACACTTATACTGCCCCCTTGTACTGTAAGGGCAAGACCCTCCCCCCCCCCTTTGACTAAATATATATAATTTTGGAGAATATGTCGGTAAATCAGTACAAAAATAATAAATATCCCCTATTTTTGGGGTGAGAAATCCAATGGAACCATCGCCGACGACCTAACCCCCCCCCCTTCCTACTTACAAGGGGGGGAATTCCCCCCCCAGCCAAAATATTTTTTCTTCCCTATTATATTGATTTGTTATGTTTTCCTAAATACAAATACACCCTTTACAACAGTTATATTGCCCTCCTTGACCTGTAAGGGGGCGACACCCCCCCCCCCATTTGCTAAATGTATATAGCTTTCGAAATTTTGTCTATAAAGCAGTACAAAACCATGGATACCCCCTATTTTCGGGGTGAGAAGTTCAATGGCGCAAACCCCGTCCCTCCATCATCTATAGTTTTCGATTTAGGGTGGGGGTATATGGATCTAGGGAGTGGGTATAAAATACGTGTTCTGGGATGTATGAGGGGTTGTGATGTAGTTTTTTACCCTATTTTGGGGTCGAGAAATTCAATGGCGCAAACCCCGTCCCTCCATCATCTATAGTTTTCGACTTAGGGTGGGGGTATATGGATCTGGGGAGTGGGTATAAAATACGTGTTCTGGGATGTATGAGGGGTTGTGATGTAGTTTTTTACCCTATTTTGGGGTCGAGAAATTCAATGGCGCAAACCCCGTCCCTCCATCATCTATAGTTTTCGATTTAGGGTTGGGGTATATGGATCTGGGGAGTGGGTATAAAATACATGTTCTGGGATGTATGAGGGGTTGTGATGTAGTTTTTTACCCTATTTTGGGGTCGAGAAATTCAATGGCGCAAACCCCGTCCCTCCATCATCTATAGTTTTCGATTTAGGATGGGGGTATATGGATCTGGGGAGTGGGTATAAAATACGTGTTCTGGGATGTATGAGGGGTTGTGATGTAGTTTTTTACCCTATTTTGGGGTCGAGAAATTCAATGGCGCAAACCCCGTCCCTCCATCATCTATAGTTTTCGGCTTAGGGTAGGGGTATATGGATCTGGGGAGTGGGTATAAAATACGTGTTCAGGGATGTATGAGGGGTTGTGATGTAGTTTTTTACCCTATTTTGGGGTCGAGAAATTCAATGGCGCAAACCCCGTCCCTCCATCATCTATAGTTTTCGATTTAGGGTGGGGGTATATGGATCTGGGGAGTGGGTATAAAATACGTGTTCTGGGATGTATGAGGGGTTGTGATGTAGTTTTCTACCCTATTTTGGGGTCGAGAAATTCAATGGCGCAAACCCCGTCCCTCCATCATCTATAGTTTTCGATTTAGGGTGGGGGTATATGGATCTGGGGAGTGGGTATAAAATACGTGTTCTGGGATGTATGAGGGGTTGTGATGTAGTTTTTTACCCTATTTTGGGGTCGAGAAATTCAATGGCGCAAACCCCGTCCCTCCATCATCTATAGTTTTCGACTTAGGGTGGGGGTATATGGATCTGGGGAGTGGGTATAAAATACGTGTTCAGGGATGTATGAGGGGTTGTGATGTAGTTTTTTACCCTATTTTGGGGTCGAGAAATTCAATGGCGCAAACCCCGTCCCTCCATTATCTATAGTTTTCGATTTAGGGTGGGGGTATATGGATCTGGGGAGTGGGTATAAAATACGTGTTCTGGGATGTATGAGGGGTTGTGATGTAGTTTTCTACCCTATTTTGGGGTCAAGAAATTCAATGGCGCAAACCCCGTCCCTCCATCATCTATAGTTTTCGATTTAGGGTGGGGGTATATGGATCTGGGGAGTGGGTATAAAATACGTGTTCTGGGATGTATGAGGGGTTGTGATGTAGTTTTTTACCCTATTTTGGGGGTGAGAAATCCAATGGCGCAAACCCCGTCCTTCCAACATTTATAGTTTTCGATCTAGGGTGGGGGTATATGGATCTGGGGAGTGGGTATAAAATACGTGTTCTGGGATGTATGAGGGGTTGTGATATATGTTTCTACCCTATTTTGGGGGTGAGAAAGTCAATGGTGCAAACCCCGTCCTTCCAACATTTATAGTTTTCGATCTAGGGTGGGGGTATATGGATCTGGGGAGTGGGTATAAAATACGTGTTCGGGAGGGTATGAGGGGTTGTGATATAGTTTTTTACCCTATTTTGGGGGTGAGAAAGTCAATGGCGCAAACCCCATCCCTCCAACATTTATAGTTTTCGATCTAGGGTGGGGGTATATGGATCTGGGGAGTGGGTATAAAATACGTGTTCGGGAGGGTATGAGGGGTTGTGATATAGTTTTTTACCCTATTTTGGGGGTGAGAAAGTCAATGGCGCAAACCCCATCCCTCCATCATCTATAGTTTTCGATCTAGGGTGGGGGTATATGGATCTGGGGAGTGGGTATAAAATACGTGTTCGGGAGGGTATGAGGGGTTGTGATATAGTTTTTTACCCTATTTTGGGGTCGAGAAATTCAATGGCGCAAACCCCGTCCTTCCAACATTTATAGTTTTCGATCTAGGGTGGGGGTATATGGATCTGGTGAGTGGGTATAAAATATATATTTTTTTTATATTTTGAGTTAGATTGGGGTCAACACCCTGCAACACTTTCTACATTGGACATAATTGGCTAACAGGTAAGTACACACTTAACTTACCTGAATACATATGACCAAAGATGATTATCCACTTACATAATCCAATTACAAGCTGATTGATTTTCTAAAGCAGGTGGAACTATGAATTAGTAATATTGACTCTCCCCGTAAGATTGCACACCAATTATATGAACTGCTTTCCCCATATAGTTTAAATATTGTGTTAAACGGATTCATCAAACACGTTTTTTAAGTTATACAATTTAATTTTTATGCTTATCTTTCCTTAATTAAATTATCATTGCAATATCTTTATCTATCAGTGTGCTGATTTGACATAACACCTGAAGAGTAACCGTCAAAATCGAGATTATTCCCCTACGGTTGTATCATAATATTAAATTTTTAGAAACTAATATAATATTCCAATAATAATTTTTTTTTGTAATGTAATATAAAATGTAGATTACTAGCACTGACGAATACTAGAAAATACCCGGTATGGATCATAAACATAAACAAATAACGTTTTTAGCCGAAAATAAATATATTTCCTCAATGTTTTATCTAGTTTCGGAATTTTTAGTTAGATTATGTATGTTGGAGGAGTTTTCGAGAATTACTAATTACTATATTATTAGTTTGGACAAACTTGATAATAACAGACAAGAATGAAATCCAGTGGAATAAGACAGTGACATGAATTGTAGCTGTCAGATAATTTGTTGAACAATATTAGACGTTGGTCAATCCATAATGAATGGTGCGGGGGTTCACGGGGAAGTAATAATCATTTGTTGTACCATAATCAAAGGCAAGAATAACTCTGCAATTGAGTTAAAAATGATTTATTTAACAATATAACACGTGGTTCAATTTATAAACAATGGTTTGGAGGCACACGGGAAAGTAATAAACAATTTTTGTTTTATAATCAACGGCAAGAATAACGCTGTACAGTTTGATTTCTTTTTTAGGTAGAAGCACAGAAAACGTACTGTAAACGTGTGTTTGCTGTTGTAGAAGCGACTAAGGTGTGGTCTAATATATCTTTGAATATGAACTTTTTTGGCAGTAATGCGATCACTGTGTTAATACCTGTCCAATTTTTTAGGTTAAACCAAAACAAAGAAACTGGTATATCAAGCAATGAATGAAAATCAAGTGTAATGAATAGGCCTAAGTTGTTATTAAATTATTGACACTACGTTATAAGTGACATGGACATCGCTTAAACCAATTTTTCACACTAACTGTAAATAAAGAAATGGTATAAAACTTAGGAGACTTAATTAGGCCTAGTTTACTTAGTTGACTTAGGGAGGGCCGACAACCCAAGAGAGGAATCAAAACTACACATCTGTGAGTGTAAAATTCAAATGAAGGCTTAAAATATTGTTTTAAAATTTCATATAATTAATAAAGTAACAGAAATGTCATAGTAAAGAAACGCTTAAATGAACTTAGAATACGTACACATGATGCGTTTGTTTATGAGGAAAATTATTTGATCAAAATATTTCTGAAACTTTGAGTTTGTTTTGTTCAATTTGTAGGATAAAACAAGTTTTTATTTTGGTAGGAGCCTTCTTACTTGACAAAAATATCTAATTTAGGCAAGAAATAGCATCGTACCGTTTAGTGTTTAATTGATTATTACTACAATGTAAATTTGGAATGGAGAAAGCTGTAAAAACGGTGGATGTAAACAAAATGCTTACAGCAGGTCTATTATCATTTGAATTGGAGGATAGGAAGGAATGCATTTTTAATTATGGAGTTTGTCGTATTTTCCCCGTTGTTGATATAGATAAATAAATAAATAAGTACAGTAGCCTACAATTAATTAATTAAGCTTTTTGCCACCGTGTCGGAAGACACGGGCTCGAACGGGAAA